AGGGGCACAGCTGAACCCACAGGCAGCCTCGACTCCTGCCAGCTTGACTGTGCCCACTTCTTCCCATTACACAGGAGGAGGAAGCCTGTCCACCCTGCACTCTTCGGGACCACAACCACCACCACCACCACCACAAACGCACATGGCTCAAGTGCCACAAATGCAGCAAAGTTTACACCTCCATCAGTCTCTCCCCCTCCAGCAGATGACCTATCAGCAGTCCCCACTCCGGCAGCAGATACCACAGCCCCGAATGCAAACTCCCATTCAGTCCCAGTTACTATCACAGACACAACCCATCACCCAGCTGCCCCACTCACCACCTCAAAGCCAACCGCTGCTGCCTTCCCAAATGCCCACATCACCCGTGTCCACAGCTACGTCTCTGCTGCCCGGCAGCGGCACCAGCGCGCCCACAGATAGCACCGCTGCTACTGGGGCTGCATTTTGCTCGTGTTCCTCATCCTCTTCCACCTGTTCCTCCTCTTGCTCTACTGCTGCTTTACCTTCCAGTGCCAAAATTCACCCAACACCCCCCACCTCAACTCTTCCTCTGGGACAGAAATGAAACCAAGCGAAGTGTGAGGTCAATGTGAAGGTCCAAGAGATGGAAAAACTACGTTGGTCAGGACGTAAAGCAGATCCATTTGAAGTGTTAGTTCTGTGTATGTGTGAGAGAGTTGTGACTGCAGTGAATACATGGATTCCAGTTTACTTCTGGATGAGACGGGAAATGAATGTGAAAGAAAGATGACAGATTCTAGCATGTACAGATAGAGGGTAATACGGAACACAGCAGCTGGGGTTTATGATATGTTTGGATGTTGAGATGTACAAAGTCTTTATTGTGTGAGTGTGTGCATTTATGAGTGTGGTCGGTGTTTATGGATTATCTGAGTACATATCACTTATGTCCTTGGACACAAATTAACTGTCATGTTTTTGTTTGCAAACCAACTCAGCTGGACCTGAAATCTCACTAAGCAGAGACAAGAAGGACAAAATATTTGACAGTGTTGACATTTTATGTTTAATTTGTCAATGCTTACAGTGAAAGGACTATCAATTTTAAAAGTGCAATTAGTAATGGTCATCTAAACTGATCAGCACGTATTGTATTGATTTGTCTGTAAGGCATAAAATATTTTTGTAGAAGCACAGTGATGAATACCAGACGCATAGAGGATTTTTTTTTCATGATCGTTTAAAACTGTAGGCCTGCAGCACAAAGGCATTTCAATGGGCAATGAAAACTAATAAAACAACAGCATGTTACGCCGTTGAGCGCAGAAAACTTATCCGGCTATCCTCATTACCACAGTGCAACCAAACACACTGTTGCAGCGTCGTGTACCGGAACAGCATGCGCTTAAGTGGTATTGTTTTATGTTTGTAACAGAAAAAAAAAAAAAAAGTCTGAATTAACACGATCAGATGAGTTCATAACATGATGGTAAATTGAAATATGCCGTCTGTGTTCAGTGAATGCCTCGGTACACTCCGCCTAAGACTGCATGACCGTATGACTAACTTGACTTGCCTGAGTGCAAACTGCTTGCACTTGCTGTATATTCATGAATTTCACAGTTACTATTTGCGGCCTACTGAGATAATCAGTCATAAGTAAAATTTGCTTTCAGTATGATATGCTTTCACATTTGACATTTTTTGCTTTCAGTTTGAGCTCCACATATCAAACTATATCAGTGTCATGCTGAGGAGAAAGATGAAAAAGAAAAAAAACTGCCAAGCATTATTGACAGGGGAAACCATATGGGTTATTCTAATATTGCCTTTCAAGATTACTGCATTTTTGTGAGTGTGTGAGTGTAGTTTTTCTGTGTGACAAAGCTTTGTGATAGTCCCATTGTATAATGCGTTATAAATTGCATCCTTGTTTTTTTTTTTTTTTCATTCAAAGCAGCCTCGCAAATGTCACTGTACTCAAATGGAAATGTTTACTCTACCTATGTTTTGGGCTTGCTTCCTCAAGAAATGAGATCTTAAACCATATACCGGTTGTAAATTTGATGTTCAACACTGTTGTGAGATCCTCACTCGCCTATTTGTCAGATTTATTTGGCGTTGTACAAATTCTTTATTTCAATTGTGAACTTCTTAGTCTTTGACAATAGGCTGTCGGTGTAAACGCATCGATCAGAAGCTCAGATGTGGGCCATAACTGTGCTTTATGCACACCGCTAAAGGTTTACTCAAGTCAAAAATGTTCCATTCCTCAATTTCAAAACTCAGTACGTTTGTTGATGCAGCGATACGCAGAGTAATATATCAGCAGCGGATATATTACCGTACATTTTATTGGCTTATCAGTGCATTTAGCCATACACACATTTGACCATTGGTGGTCAGGCGTTAATACATTTTTTGGTGTAATAAGTAGCCTGTAGTCGAAGCAGCATTTCTGTTTTATTACTAAGGGAGAGTTTGTGTGCCACAGAAAACAGCAGATTGTACAGGATGGTAAAGACTGCTCAATGTGAGTCAAAGACATATAAAGCATGAATGGTTACGGAGGACGAGTTCAAGCAAAAGGATATGGTTGTTCAGAAACTGCATAATCTAGATGATAAATTATACAGTTCTCTGTATTTGTTGCTTTTCAAGACTACCCACATTTTCACAGAGATATTCATTATTAGTGAAGGTGAAATACTGTGCTGTCATGTCTGATACTAACATGTATCTAACAAGCTGCAGCTTAATGATCATGACTCATGATGTCAAGCTGGCTTTGTCCTTGAAGTGTTACCAAAATGTTATCTAAAAATAAAGATTATTTTTGTATTTTGGAATGGGGTTGTACAAATTGTAAAATGGTGTTCTCATCACTATAAATCAGAGGTTATTTGAAACTAGAAAAAAAAACATGGTTTTCATTCCTGTTGATGTGGGACTCCCTGTTTTGATATACCTCTCTGAGTCCTGACAGGCCAGGATCATTTCAGATTATAGTCAGATCATTTTTGTTCATGTTTGACATTTTATTTCAGCTTTGAACGTGGAAAACCCAGATGATACTCAACAAAGATGACATTGACCCTCAAGGGTACAAGGTCAGATATAAACTTAGAAATTAATGCAACAAAAATCTGGGGAGTCTCAAAATGGCACGACTGAGAACCAATGATAAAAAAATATGGGCAAAAAAAACCAACAAAAAACCTAGAGAAACAAAGTATGTTGCTGGTGATTTAGCCTCTGTAAATTGTAACTAATTCAACTGTTGATTTTATTTATGTTTTGTAACTAATCAAAATAAATGATGTTAAACATCAAATTACATTATGTGTATGTGTGTGTTTTTCCCGTGCTGTATTTTCACCCAGTAAAGTTTGTGGACATTTTATCTAACGCATGGTGCACAAGTTTCATTTCAATGTTGGTTTGAGTACAGAAGAGTCCACATGTGGCTCAGAACTGTTTGAAAGCTGATACTGCCGTTTAGATTTAATGAAGTTGTTATGAGGCTAATAGCGAGGCTGAAAAGAAAAAAAATGTATAAGCAGTTGGATTTTTAACTTTTTTTCCATTTAGTTTTGTTGTTGTTTTTTTTTTAAAGGGCAGGTGCACACAAAAGAAATGGAAAGCTGCAATGAATCTGGAAGACCATAGAGCATGAATTATTTTAGATGAGCAGAAAATCATTTGCACAGTAAAAAAAAACAAAATAAAAAAAGAAACATTCATGACTCATGAAGGCTTTCCAGAATGTAGGCGTACGTGACTTCTCTGTCAACAATCAAGAGAAAAATCCCCATCCGCAGATGATTCACAGAAATATGCAAACTCCACAGAAGTGTCAGAAATAGAAAGGGCGCACTGCAGTTTATAAAAACATACAAAACGAAACCTGTAGAGTCCTGGAGCAAAGTTCTCTGGACTGATGAAAGATTACCTCAATTAAAATATAAAGGAAAGTGTGAAGACGAAAAAAAAAGTAAACGCGCATGACCTGAAAAAAGATCATCTCATTCGTCAAACTTGCCTCTGTTACTGCTTGGCGTGTGCGGCTGTCAGAGGAACTGGCACTCTGGCATTTAACTTTTTGATGATTTCACTACTGACAGAAGCAGCAGGACACATGCAGAGGGATAAAGAGCAGTCTGTGTCCTCAGACTCAGCCAAAAGCATCAAAGCTCACAGGAGGACAAGGACAGCCAAAGCTCCAAACTGCTTTTCAGGATGAAAAGGTGGAACATGGTTGACCGGCCAAGTCAGTCACCTGATCTCAGCATAGAACAGACTGAGCTGCATTCCACTAAAGGCAGAGAGACCCCACAACAAACAGCAGCTGAATGTGGTTGCAGTAAAGGCCTGTAGGGCATCACCAGGGATGATACCAAGTGTTTGATTTCTGTGCATTAGGGAGTTGAGGCTGTTATGGTTGGAGAGGAATTCTCAGAAGATATGATGGTTCTGTTTGACTCAATAAGCATCTGTCCCTAAACTTTGGTCACCATGCAGTAAAAGAGCTGCAACTCTAAAACAAATGTAAACCTATTCAAATTCATACTGCGACTCAGCACATTAATGTAGTATGGATTATTTAAAAATTGTCAGATGCCAGTTTGATCTATAAAAATATAGAACCAAGTCACTGAAAAATGATTATCATGCATACATTGAAAAAAAAAATCTAATAATTTTAAAAAGCTTTAAAATCTCGGCTGTATATTGACAGACAGTTGCATGAAGATTCAACTTTTATAATGTCAAAAACATTAATTCACTCATCTTTTGAATTTGAATTACTTTGGGCATTTCATCAACATATTTACGAACATTTTTTAAATGTATGTATATCTTTGCAAATAAAGCGTGTTTGCAGACTATAGCTAGTTTCTGAAACGTCTAATGATGCATTAGGCAACTTCCACCGTTGTTACGGCACCAACGTTCCGCAACGTTTTTTTTTTCCTGAATGCAGCTCGCTATTTGACTGTGTACAACTTTATTGTCCCTCGAACGGCAGACAACGACGAACAACGGTCTGACGTTGCTGCCTTTGAAATGGCGTTGATGCCGTTTAATACGCTGTTATTTACTGTAATTGTGCTCGTTTAGGTCGCTTCAGGCTTTATTTTTGTGCTTTAGTGTGAACTTCTGAACCCGACCAGTCTATTAGGGCATTACAGAGCCGATAAACAAAAATGTGGTAAAGCAAATTGTTAATAACTGGCGTTGCATAATAAGGCCGCAGCTTCCCCCGAGCTTGCGTAGGGATTACAACGGCTTTTCAATGCTTGGCCCAACCGCAGCTACACATCGGTGAGTTGCTAGCGTTAAATATTAGTTTTAGTCAACAAACGACGCTACTTTGGCTGAAATCAATCAGCTGCGTCTGATGCATGTAATGTTTGATTCACGCTTAAAGCAGAATAATTCGCAGCTGCTCTGGCATAGGTTAACATTTGTAAATATTTTGATTCTCCAGCTACATCGTCGGCTAACACGGCTAATGTTAGCTTGCATGCTAAACACAACGTTAGCAACACAACATCCACGGGGCATAGCGTGTTTACAAGCATCGAGCTAACGTTACTGTTTGCAACCGTTGGTGTGTAGCACAGACGAATTACTTGTTTTGTTGTTGTTATTGTTTTGTTTTTGTTTGTTTTCTTTTAAAATCTGCGAAGTGCACAAAATAGCTGTCATCACCAAAATGTGTGTTTAAAGAATACAAAATATTTTCAGAAGTAAAGATTAGTGTTATGCCATCAAACTTAAACCAGTGTCGTTATCCAGCTAGCTTAACTTAACTTGCAGGAGTGATTACCTTACGTCAGGAACAGGTTATAGCTTATTTAACAACGTAATAGTATTAATCTTAGGCATGTTGTGCATTTGCTTTGTTGCCAAATAATAACACGTTTTGTCCTGCTTTTTGTATGTTGACAGGTTTTCAAGTGAATCGCAGCGGACATGTGTATCAGTAACAGGAATCGCAAAGTGAAGAAACAGACTTAGATTTCCATTCAACATTAACATACCAGCGTTACACATTTAGGCCTTTAGTTTTAATTTCTTCTAGCTGACTTAGATTCTTACGTATTTGTTTAACACACAGTAATAGCTTGTTCCCACACATACACTGAATATGGCATCAGTGCCAGTTTACTGCTTGTGTCGCCTGCCATACGATGTGACACGCTTCATGATTGAATGCGACATTTGTCAAGACTGGTTTCATGGAAGGTAGGATCATTTTCTTACTTTGCTGATCATATCGTGTGTAGTGATATTCAGATGTACAGTTGCAGGATTTGTGATTTGATCACATCTGTTGTCTTGATTGTGTGATTCCTGTGGCCATTGGAGCCCATCGTAGTTCATTCAGCAGCGTCTTCGTCTGATTTAAGTATGTTTTCTGTGCAGCTGTGTAGGAGTAGAGGATTTGATTACATCTGTTGTCTTCATTGTATGATTCATGTGGGTACTGGGCCCATGATTCAGCAGAGTCTTTGTCTGATTTAAGTATGTTTTCTGTGTAGCTGTGTTGGAGTAGAGGAAGACAAGGCAGCTGAGATTGACCTGTATCACTGTCCTAACTGTCAGGTCACTCATGGACCTTCTGTCAGTAAGTTACCTTTTAATGTCTCGTTGGTGGTTATGTTGTTTTTGGCTTACTTTTTTCTAAGAATGCAGTGGGTAATGGTCTCTCCTTTTTCTTAGTGCGCAAACGCCGTGGAGGCAATAAGCAGACAGACGGAGGTGCTGCTGCAGGAAGAGATCCAAGTCGGCCTGTTAAGACGGGCAGTCCACAGTTTGTTAGAGAGCTACGGAGCCGAACCTTCCCAAAGTAAGCCTCGCTCATCATCATGCAAAGACAAAAGTTTATTCTTCACAAGTCTAAAGATAAAACCATGATTTCCATGCAGTGATGTACTGACTGTGGTGTACACATCACATACTGTTTTGACAATTAACTGTAAGAAGAGAACATAAAGTACTGTTGTGCATTGTTGTTGCAGTTGATTGCATTATATTCTGCCAGTGTTGATCTTGTATCTATATTACTGTGCTTACCCCTTGAACCACTTCTTTTTACTTGCCATTCTTCAACAGTTTTTGCTTTTGGATGAGAATATGCTTGCTGTAGTAAAATCTTAAAGCATTTTATGTTGAATACTTCTTGTGATCACAGTCAAAACTTGCATGTATGTCTGTTTGTGTCACTATGACAGTGCGGATGAGGTCTTGCTAAAACCGTCAGGCGCCCAGCTGACAGTAGAGTTTCTGGAAGAGCATTCATTCAGTGTTCCTGTGATGGTGCTGAGACGGGATGGCTTAGGAATGACCCTACCCCCTTCGTCATTCGGCGTCACTGATGTTGAACACTACATTGGTAAAGTTTTGATGAATTCAGCACAAAATTTTAAAATGTGGCTCTGTACTTTTCTTGAATATTTTTTTTCTTCATGTGTATTCGAGGAATATAAATGAGTTCTTCTTGTGTTACATATGGTGACTAAATCACCTACACTTCTCTAATAATGGTTCATTTTGTTTTCATTCCAGGTTCAGATAAAGAGATTGATGTGATTGACGTGTCTCGCCAATGTGATCTGAAGATGCGGTTGGGAGAATTTGTTGAATACTACAACAGTCCCAACAGAGACCGAGTGCTCAATGTCATCAGTCTAGAATTCTCTGAGACCAGGTACACAAAGATATTTATTTGACTAAGGGTTTAGTTCACCATTATATGTATATTTTTAGGTTTTATGTTACATCTGTATGAAATTCAGTTTAGTTAAATGAAATAATGACAATGTCTTTGTTGAAATGATGCTGCGTTGTTATGGATGTGATATGCTGAAGACTTAAAGCGAGTGTTGGACTTCTCTTAGGCTGTCAAACTTGGTGGAGACTCCCAAGATTGTGAGGAAACTATCGTGGGTGGAAAACCTCTGGCCTGAAGAGTCTGTTTTTGAACGTCCCAATGTGCAGAAGTACTGTCTAATGGGAGTGAAGGATAGCTACACAGACTTCCACATTGACTTTGGGGGCACCTCAGTGTGGTACCACGTCCTGAGGGTGAGAGGCAGAACATGCTTGTGAAGTTTCAGTTCAGTTTCCCGTTGTTATGAATATATTGGTGTTATTTTAAATGCTTCTCTCTCTCTCTCTGTTTATTTAGGGTGAGAAAATTTTCTACCTAATTTCCCCCACCCCAGCCAACCTGGCACTTTTTGAGAGGTGGAATTCCTCATCGAACCAGAATGAGATGTTCTTTGGGGACCAGGTTGATATGTGTTACAAGTGTTCTGTCAAGCAGGGAAACACCTTGTTCATACCAACAGGTAAGCTGTCATGATAATGTGTTTGGCTAATTACTGGAAAAATGTTTTATTGTAGAGTTGTGACGCTTGAACAAGTGTCAATTTATGTTCACGTTAGGATGATCTGTTGTTTCAGCTGGTTTCTGCAAAAGCCTCTGTCCATATTTAAACTTTAAAATGGGTAGCTGTCATTTTATGGGAAATGCATGGAGAACACATGAGAAAGCCATAAACAGAAAAAAACTTTTAAAAAGAAACTAGTATATTTCTTGTTCTTCCTTAGTTTAAAAAAAAAACAGTCATACCACCAGAGTATGTTTTATCAGCAAACTCTTCAACACCAAGGCATTCGTTTCAGATTTACACACTTCAAATCCTGTTTGGGAAAAATGTCGTTTGTGTGGGAGAAGCATCTTTTCAGTTTGGACCGTAGGCCGAAATGGAAGGAAACAGATCTGTTTAAATTCATCCAGCTTTGTGTGGACATGGTCTGAATCAAACAGTGTTTACACATTTGACATTTGTTTGTCCTCCAGGGTGGATTCATGCTGTTCTGACTCCAGTGGACTGCCTGGCCTTTGGAGGAAACTTCTTGCATAGTCTCAACATTGACATGCAGTTGCGGTTAGTTTTTGACTGTTCATGTCATATTGATGTTTCATCATTGTACCCTTTTTTGATGGAAATGTTTGATTAATGTTATTGATAATTAAGCAACGACATATGAGTGTAACTTTCACACTAATCTATAAAAGCAAGATAGAGTGAATGGGGAATTAAAATTGAATGTCATATGCTGTTTTTTTTCAATGCATAGGTCTTGTAACAGTTAGAAAAAAATCCCACATTCCTGATCAATATTTCCTGTGTTATCTCACACTGTCTGCCACATGTTACTGTAGTTTACAGACTCTTTTCACTCTTTAGACAAGGTGAAAATGTAAACATGAATGTGCTAAAGTAGAGTTTTTACTAGACTGCTATAGCTCCTCACTATTAGTTCCCCTTGCATGTGGTTCTTGGATTTATTTGGTCAAAATAACTCCAGGGGTTCATCTGTATCAGCAATATGTGTTAATGTGTGTCTTTTTGTGCTTTGATGTGATTTTTAGGGCATATGAAATAGAGAAGAGATTAAGCACAGCAGACCTTTTCAGATTTCCCAACTTTGAGACTGTGTGCTGGTATGTTGGAAAGCACCTTCTTGATACGTTCAGAGGTGAGAGATTTCACTGAAGCTTATGTTGTTCATGCCGTGTTTTCCTGTGAGCTTTTTGAGTGGCCTATATTTCATGTTAGTCCTCATGACATGATTAACCTTGTGTTATCCTGTCTAACAGGTTTGAGAGAAAATCGCAGACACCCTGCTACTTATCTGGTTCATGGAGCTAAGGCCTTGAACAATGCCTTTCGTACCTGGACACGTAAAGAGGTACTATCTTATGCATTTACTGCATCTTCGTGTTTTGGGATAACATTTTTGTGCTCACACTTTGTTTCATTACTTAGCTTATTTCCCACGCAAACCACTTTTAACATCTTCATACAGGAGTTAGTTTGATTCTGAACCCAATGAATGGATCAGAAGTGCCGCCGCACATTTATTTTTATTATGTTAAATGTTATTTTTATGTAAATCACTCCCTAGAGGTATTCGATTTAAAAAGGTGACTGCGCCGGTCATTTTTCATGTTGAAAGGCAATATTAAATTGCAACAAATGAAAATTTGCCAACTGGGGAGTTTTTTCTCTCTTTCTGGCAAAAAGATAAACAAGAACGTTGACATTACTCTCATGTCTGCCAATTTAATATAAATCTACAGTCAGCCACTGGTTTGATTAGTTTCTCACAAAGACTGAAAACAGTTTAAAACAGCTCGTCGGACTGTATCAAAAACTGCCTACCAGCACCTCTGAAGCTCACTAGTTTGTTTATTAAAACAAAAAAAGTTGTAGTTTTACAGGGAGTTATGTGTAATTTAACTGTGTAATGTAACTTGGCTCTGAGCAGTTGCCAGGCAACCAGCTAATACTCAAGGAAGTTACAGATCATTGGCAGGAATTAGGGCAACATGTGACCTTCTTGTAAAATGGTCCGATACGAGATAAATGAAAGGCAAACCACTTAAACAATCGTAAATAGAAATCCAAGAGAAAATGCCTTAATGATATAAATTATGGCCTGGTGTTGTCAGCCCAAAACAAATTGCCCTGGGACATTTCCAAGATAGCGGCTTAGTGACGAGTTGCAAACAACAGACTTTGAAACAGTGGATTGTCACACATTTATGTTTATGCAATGAAACAATAAATGATACAACATGCTCAGCAGTGTCGTAGTACTTCACAGGTGCTGGTAGGTGGACTGTTGCCCTTTTCTAGTAATTGTGCTAAACTATACAAACCAGCATCTGGCTACAGCTTCCTGTTTTGCAGATGGACAGGAAGAAAGCAAAGCATATTTCCCAGTATGTCAAGCCTTTTCTTTAAATGTATTTTAAAATCTATCCCATATTTTTTTCTCCCTACACTTTTCAGGCTTTAGCAGAGCATGAAGTGGAGATTCCAGAAACCATCAATACTCAGACACTTGTGAAGGACCTGGCCAAGGAGATTCGTCTGGTAGAGGTAAACACGAGAATCACCGACAGTTTGTTGTTAGCTTTGTTTTAATTTAATATGCATGTAGATTTTTTTCCCACATTTTTTTTTCATTTTATTTACTAATTGGACCTCTCTTTTGTCAGGACATTTTTCAGCAAAACATTGGTCGCACTGGACCACAGTTTCCTGGTTCGCCGCTCTCCAAAGCTCCGCTGACCACCTCTCAGAATTCAGGACGGCCTCCTGGAAAAAAGAAAGGACCCAAGCCCAAGGAGGTGATAGGAGGCCTTGGGCCTCCAGGAACCAAAAAGAAGAATCAGAAGGGGCTACTGAAGGCAGAGGCAGGAGAACTCGACCTCATTGAGATCCACACTAAACATACACTCAAGAAATTTCAACCTGGCAAGTCCAAACACAAGAACAAGGTATGAGGTTTGCTGACATTTGTGATGACAACAGGAAGGCATATCCAGCATTTCTTTTGTGTCTACATGTTTGATTTTTGCATTTACTTGAAGTTATTGTCTGTGTTTCCAGTTGGAGCTGCCATTAGAGGAGTTTGAAGGGAAACTAAATAAAAGCAAACTGAAGCTTGTGCTGACAAATGGAAAAATCCAAGGGTAGGCTTTGCAGCCATCATCTTTTTCCTCATTCTTTTGTGTATTATGAGCTTACTAAAGGTTGGAGTTTTTACCTGCCGTTTTTCTGGCTTTAGTAAGAAAGACGGCAGCAGTAACGGTGCGGGAAGTGCTGGAAACTACAAACACCTTGCCACAGAGGGCTCCAGTCTGTCTGACTTGGAGTCTGAGGATGAGTTGCAGATTGATGAGACCCCTCCTCCACGACGCAAACCTGCTGGACCGAGCAAGAAAAAGAAGCAAAGCGGTAAGAATTTGACCTTAAACAATAGTAAGATGAATGCTTGAGTGAGCGTAGTGGCACATAGATACAGCTGTTTGAATACTTGGACTACTTGCTAAACCTAGTACCATTTATAGTATTACAACTGTAATGTCAAAATGTTAAAATGTGCCTTCAGGTCTTCCTAGAAAGCTTCCCAGAGCCAAACCCTGTTCTGACCCTAATCGCATCCGGGAGCCAGGAGAGGTAGACTTTGATATTGAGGTGAGATTTTTAACTGGTCTTGTGAATCTAATCCTGAATTCTCTTTTAAAGATATCATGGCCAGTGTAAGTCAGTCCCGAAAGTTAAGTTAAAAATGTACTGTAAAGGTTGTAAAAGTTCATGACTAAGACTAAACTATAGCTTAAAGTTTAGCTTTGCGGTCCTTTTTATTTTAAAGCTGGGTCGACTTCCATGTTTAGCAATTTGCTGGTCAAAGCTCGTCACAAGAGATGTTTTCTACAGTATAGTTACTTGCTTATATCCACTTTGTTTTCCCACTGCTGTGACAGATTACATTGGCTGCTTTATCAAGAAAAGATGAAGCAGATAAAACCCACTCTGCCCTCTTGTCCAATCGTAACAATAGCATGTTTGTGCATGTGGTTTCAGGAGGACTACACAACTGATGAGGAGGCACTGGCCGCCCACGGACTGAAGGGTGGTGCCGGAGGCATTCTGGACTTATTAAAGGCCAGCAAGCAAGTGGCAGGCTTGGACTCTTCAGCTTTAAGGTTCGATTACCTTGTTCACCAGTGATTCTACGACCTAATAGCATTTTAAAATATATGTATTTAAATAGATATGTCTAATTTGAATCCCATGGTGTTTGAAGCTATGTATCTGAAACACACTTCCAGATCTTTGGATGTCAGTGACTAGAGCAATAAACCAGGGAGAAAATGCTGTTGTTGCAAGAATCCAAAAACCTTTTAAATCATCATGTTTCACATATTTGCAATGGCTCCACTATGTTTCAAAGTTTATTTTTGAGATAATGAGTGATTGCTCAACTCTGTACTTTTCTCAGTGAGGAAGCCCCAGCCTCTCCCAGCACCCGTGATGCTATCCAGGGTATGCTCTCCATGGCCAACCCTCCTTCCTCGTCCTCCTCTTCCTCCTCTTCATCTCCCTTATCTATCTCTGGAGGCTTGACAGAGGGATTAGGGGTTGTCAAGGAGAAAGGTGGCAGGGCAGTGTGGGTGACAGGAGGGGTCAAAAAGACAGCAAATCCTGAGAAGAAGCCTGTCATTGAGCGGCCTGGAAAACGGCCAATTAAACGACCAGCCCGTCATCTTAGTGATGAGGAGAGTCCAGATGAGCAAGAGACTCTGGGAACTTGTTTTAAGGATTCAGACTATGGTGAGCAGTACAGCGATTTAAAACTGCTGCTGTGCGAATCAGTGTTAGTTAAAACACAAGCTTTTATTGCTTTATTCATTAAGCCAAAGTTCAATTCTGTTCATCAATTTTTTTTTAAAGTTTACCCATCATTGGAGTCTGATGAGGAGGATCACGTCAACAAGACTAAGATGAAGCGGAAGAAAAACTGGGATGACACACCTTGGAGCCCAAAAGGTAACTGTCTTCATCGTAGCAACAAGACAGATTAGGTTTTCTCTTTTATTTTTGTGATGATCATTGATCTCTCAATGTTATTGTCTTTAACAGCCAGGGTGATGCCCACCCTTCCAAAACAGGATCGACCAGCCAGGGAAGGGGCTAGAGTCGCCTCAGTAGAAACTGGCCTTGCAGCAGCTGCTGCCAAGTTGGCGCAACAAGTAAGTTGGGGAACATAGCATATTGGTATTAGATGTGCATGCCCAGTGAATCATGTGGAGTTGAAAAGATTAAGAATCTTGTTTCTTTTTTGTTTATCATTCAGGAGCAGCAAAAGCCTGCTAAAAGGAAATACACCAAAAAGCAGCGTCCTCCTCCTCCTGTAGTCACTCCTCCCCCAGTTCAGACTGAGCCAGCCCCACCCTCCCCAACACCTGCTCCAGAGTCTGTAGCAGATGTCAGCCCAGACAGGAGGATGGATTATTATTCTGCTAGTCTGTTGGACCATGAATATACAGCAGGACCAGGACCTTTTGGCCCTGGAGGCCCCAGAGGCAGCGGAGCCATGGCTCCTGGTGTATTCCTCACTTCAAGAAGACCTTCCCTGTCTCCGCAGAATAGCAGCTCTCACTCTGGTGCATCCCCTGCAGGTTTAGCCAGCCAAGGCACAACAGGAGTTGGTCAAGGTAAGTCTTACTGTGACTAAACGCAATCATTGACAGCATAATTTTGTATGGCTGGGACAGTATGTTTCTAATTTTTTTCTTGTACTTAATTTCAGGAAAACGGCCAAAGAAAGGACTTGCAACAGCAAAACAGAGACTTGGAAAAATTCTGAAAATTCACCGCAACGGCAAACTTCTCTTGTGAGAGCTGTTGAAAATGTGGCTGAAGACTCAATGAGAATGAAGCAAATACCTTTGTGAAATAGGTTTGAAGGAAATAGAGATAGTAATCTATATTTTGTACTCTTGATAAATTTGTTTACTGTTTTCTCTTGTTATTGAACCTCACCATGTCTTGTCCTTCACCAATTACTCTGCCCAATTCAACTCACCCACATCCTCATCAAGGTATTTTCAGAAGCAAATCTGTGATCAAAATTGAATCACTCCAGTGTGCAGGGTTACACGCAATGTGGTAAATAATCTTTAATGATAGCTTATTTGACACTGGTTATTGGAAATTGTGCAAAGAATTTCAAAATGACAGATGGACTTTTATTTAACATGAATTGACAAAGCCAAACGGTTTCTTCTGTGTGGGCTGTTTTAAATGTTGTATTATGCAAAGCAACTGTACTGTCCATCGTACATTTTTAAAAGGGAAATAAAACAACACATTTTTTTAGTCAGTGTAATGTTTATATAGCCCCCAATTCCACGGACAGACACGTATGTTCAAACACCGACACACAGTCTTGCAGTTGTAGTATTGTATTTAATTGCCTTTTTACCTCATACAACACATTTTTGTGTTTGGCATTATGATAACAGGACACCAATCTTTACAACAGTAATCAGTTGTGCAAAAATCAAGTGTATGCATACATTAGGCTACATGTGAATTCTTTTTTTTAGGGAATTTGTCCTTGATGTTTTTTTTTGTTAAACTAATTTTCCTCCATATATTGTAGCTCTTCACCTGAAATACTAAGCGCTAAACTAATGCCAAGACTACCACCACATGATTCCATTTATTCGTCTCATATTTATTTAACAAGGCATCGTTTTGCCCTCTCATAGCCTGTGTTAGTGTTTGTTTTTATCACCTCATTTTTTTGGCCCCTTTAATTGTTTTTTCGACCACTTAAAACCTGTACAAAAACGATATCCATTGCTTTGTTAGATTTTTTTTTTAATTTGTCATTGTAAATATTTGTAATATTTGTAATTTATATAGCTACGTTGAACAGCAGAAAAATATAATGAGATAAAAAAGACTAGTTTCCTTCCTTCTTGAGTCAGATGTAGAGATGTGCTTTCTTACCACAGAATGTACTTGTCATAAAATGTCGGCAGAGGTATAGATTTAACTGTGTTAAAACATTGCGAAGGTGCAGGATATGAATTGAAATGTAAATATATGTTGTAATTTAAGTTCTTTTATAGTTCAAAAACTTTCAAATTTTTCGTAACATAACTTGTACATGATACATTGCTGTATTTGGGAAATATCTGAAATAGTCCTTTTTTATATTTGTAAGCAGTAACTGTCATGCTAAGTTCATGTTGTCTTGTTAGAGTAATATTGGAAGTGTGTTGGAAAAATGCCCTTGTTAAATTTCATCCATTTAGTTTTATATTAATTATTGTTGATATTCACTTTTGTGTTGGTGTGTACTGTGTGTTTTAAACATGATGTGTTTAAATACGACCTGGAAAAGATAAAATATACCTTGGGCAAAATGTCTTCTTCCATTGAATTTATTTGAAGACCACTGAATCACCGAAAATTGTGATTTGTGAGCAAAATGAATTGTTTTTCTGTCTTCAATACTTTACTGGAAAACTCCTCGCATTCACTAAAGATGAATTTGAGCAATTTTATGGAATATACAAATAAGGAATATTGTGTTGTATTAAACAAATCTACATTTAATACCTCTTTTAGTAAAAGTAGTTCCACAATTTGTAATTGAGACAATATAGTCATTAGCCAGTTTAGATATTATTTTATAATAAGCGGTAACACCAGATTTTCTCAGGCTTTGTTTCTTATATGTATTACTGTACTATTATTTTCACATCTAATTAGTGTCCCATTGCTTAATTTTAAATGCAAGTTTCCTTACAAGTTAAATAGATAATTACATGCATTTCTTATTACATTTTCTGTTTATATCTCCAAATTGTCAAAAGTGTATTCAAAAGTTTGAATACACTTTCATATTAAACTATATTTTTATAATAAAAACAAAGCATGGAGAATTCTTCTGTGTGCTTTCGTTTACACTTTTAATCACCATGTTGGAACTGGAAAGACCACTTAACAGGCTGCGTGCTTCCTTCCGAATGAAAACGCACCAGGATTGTTTTTCTACAAAAAATACAAGGGAGTGCCCTTGGTAAACGCGAATACAGGTATTCTCGCGAGATCCAAACTGCCCTACCACTTCGCTAGTTCAAGATGGAGAAGCAAATTTAACACGCATTCGAGGTAGGCAGAAAGACTTATTCCAGACTATTGACATGGGTTTTAGCTAACTGGCGACAGACGTTGCTCTTTCGTAACAGCTATCGTTGATGATTCACAGTCGCCACGATATCCGGGGCCACAAACTAGTGTCTTTTTAAGGTTAATGTTCGGATCTTCTGCAGTGTAAACCGCCATTTTTAATTTAGCCATGATCCCACGGATAGAGCATTGTGCGGAGCTTGCTATCTAGTTAGCTCGCGCGAAACCCACAGACATCCACGCCGCACACATACACAGGCTCATGTTCACAATGTGTGTGGGTATGTGAGCCTCTATTCAGTTACAAGCCAAAGCTCTATCCTCGGTCAGCGGCTACTCTGTCCCTCCTAGGAAATAATGAGACAAATAGCTGTTAGGAGAGAGTCAAAACCTGTGTCAGGTTGCAGACTTGAGTTTTCGTGATCAGCTAACGTTAGCCTTCAAAGCTGAATTGAAGCCGAAGTTAACAAATGTTAGCTTAAACTGCTAGTAAACCGAGCTAATGTCATGCAACTAGCTACTAACTTTGCTAACGTTAGCGCCACCGCTGACTTAGCCTTAACTGCGTAGGTAGCTACTTCAATAACAATGACAAATGATGTGAGCTGATTTAAAGCCGTTACAACTAACCTAGCTAACTTGGCAATGATAAACTAATAAGGGAGTTTAGCAATGTTGCTAAAGCTATCCATAGCTGTGACTGTGTTTTTTTTTTTCCCCCGTATGGTTTGATGGTCTGGCCAATTCATAACGTCAGTAGCTAATATTAACGTAAATGCTGCAGCGTTGTTTTTGGATTAAATAAGTTACACTAATAGGAGGAGCATCATACTGTCAACAGAGTGGGCTATTATTTGCTCATGTACAAGTCTGTGGAAGCTAGCAGGGATGTATCTCATTGAAAACAGTCAGAATGTTTTGATGTAATATATACAGTACCGTGTTACCTGTCAGCATACAATTTGCTCCATGTTATCCTCTCAGTCATCATCGCTATGGCATGGGAACAGTTAAAGTGGACTTGTAAAGTGAGCAACATACTTGTTTGATTGTTTTTTCTGTTTAACAAAACTGTGGCTATGTTTAATCATTCATGGCAGTCTTTAGCTAATTTGCATCACCAGTGGACTCTAAAAGCCAGGTTTCAAATAAACAGCTGAAAAGTGGAGTTTTGAAATTTTGATGCATCTTAGTTAATTTGATCTTAGAAACATGTCCTAATATTAGTTGCAATGATACCAGAAGATGTGCTACATCAATTAAAGCACTGTGCTAGTTGCTAGTTGTATTAACCTCAGCAAGTCTTAGTTAAAGCTGTGCACTTTCAATGCAGACAAGAACATTGTTATTAATTTCTAGTCCATGCCTGTAAAAAGAACTGATGACACATTCCATAAATACGTACATCTCTGATTACAAACAAGATACCAAAGAAGTCAAGTCACTTTGTTCTTGAATCTTTGAAAGTAACACACACTCACCACAGAACTGTACAAATTATCAAGACATGCAGTATTAAGAGCAAAACAGACTGGCATATCTTCATACTTGCATATAATAAAAACACTTTCAGCCCTCAAAGCGAAAAAGATGAAGGTGGATTTTGAGGTGTTGATTGAACGTATCAGTAGTAGAGGAAGTCCACCAGGTACAGTCATGTTTCAGGTTTTGATTTGCATATCTGAAATATGTAACACATTTAACAGTTCAAGACAAACTGGTGCCGTTTTAATAGAAATCTGCTTCCTCAATAACACTGACTGACTTAATCACAGTATTGTGTAGTGTAGTTGGGTTTGCAGTTTCACAGTTGCCATAATTACTTATTCCTAGTATTTTTTTTTTAATGTAACTGTCAGTGTTTTATGACTGACCAAACTGCTTGACTATTTTTGTCCTGTAATGCCTAATTTTATTGTTTTATATATTTTCAGATTGGTGAAAGAAACTGCATAACAAACTAAGGATGAGAGTTGTGGAGCTATTGAACCAAAGCAGTTTCTGGTATGTACTGCTAACCTTTCTACCTTTACTGGAAGTGCTCTGGTGAAACACCTGAATGCATAACCAATACACTTAATTGCTGTCAACATGCTTACAAAAAAAGTTATCGTTTGTTTGGGGTTAATATCACAAACACAACGAGTAGGAAGAAGAAGAAAGTTTGTTTTTTATTATTATTATTATTTTGCCTTTTCCACACAGGAGTGGTCAGATATATGTGTTACTTTATTGAGCAATTCAAACTAGCTTAAGTTCTTCACATTCTTTACAAATAAGAACATTTCAATCTCAGCAACTATGTTGTCAGTGATATTTTCCGTTTCTGTTTTTCCTTGTGGTCTCATCTGTCCAGTCAGAGGGGTTTTGGTGAGACTTACTATGGTGCACTTGGTTTGTGCTGCTCACAGCACCAAAAACTTTGTTAAAAAGTCATCAGCTCATTGAATGTTTTGCTTGATATCTGCAATTGACAGAAAATTATTGTTATTATTATTTTTTTTTACAGAATTATACCATAACATTTTTGGCAGTTGTCCCTCAGATTTGTTTGTAATGAAGAGTTGTGACCAAATATAGTTTTAAATTTTCAGCAAATGTACAACGCAGTGGCAATGAAATATCAACTGATATCGCAACATCTTTACTTAGAAACATAAATATCGTTTCTTATGATAATCCAGAGATGCTGTGAGGAAGTTTCCCTCAGTGACATCCCACCCATCTTGTGTACACTTTTAATTTGCATGCAATATAATGCGTGAATGGAGGGGAAAAAAAGTAAATATTGCTAAATTCTACTAACTGCCACTAAGCTAGATTGAATGCAGTAACTTCAGCAAGTCACCAAAATCATCTTGTCTGATAGATACTGTAGCACTGGGTATTTAGATGAGTGCAGCAGGCCCTTGTCTTTCTGTGTAATAGCTCTTAAGATTTCCCTGTCTCAGCAGTGAAAGGGTTTGGTGCATCAGTCTTTGATTATAAATTGCATATTTAACATGATTACCTCGTCCCTTCAGATCCAATGAGAGAGCATCTTGCTTGACATTCTTGACACCCTAAAAAGCTAACTTTTTCAGACACTTCAGACAATCGCATGTATTATACTGAGGAGCACTGTTCTGTTATGTCTCAGATTTGATGGAATTTTTTTTAACATCAGAAATAATGTTAGTTTCCTTTTTTTAGTTGATTTTACTTGGCCCACACTTTTAATGTTAAGTCCTGAAGTTACCTTATGGCTATTTTATTTCATAATTTAGTTTTAGAGGTAATGTGAGTAATGCTTGATTTTTAAAATGTCAACACGCTCACCCCTAAGTCACCTGAAATGAGCGTCCTGTACTGACGTTAATATTTATCTAGAGTCATTAAGCTGGCTGTAGGAGAATAAATCAAGCGCTTAGCCTCATGTTATGTAATTCTGTTTTCTGATCAATATCTGGCATAAGAATTTCCTTTGGGATTGATGAAGTTCTATCTTACCTTATCTTACTTCTTGAGAAAGGCGATGTTGGCCCAGCACATGAAATGTAATTGGGGTTACCCACAAAAAAAAAAAAATCTGTTGAACTAAACAAACAATTAACACCGAAGTTAATTAGTGGCAGCACTAGTGATAGTGGAATAAAAAACGAGGATATTAAATGCTTCAATTAGCTTCGATGTTGGCCCTTTTATCTGTAGTATGTGCACCAGTTTTAGTATACGTGCCCTTAAAATGTAGGTTTTGCTGTTTATCTATGTATTAGATAACATTGTGCTTTGTGTGTCAATGTTTATTTTTTATTTTTTTAAATTTATAATCAGTTGCATATTTATCACTGGTGATGGACTTACAAAATGCATACCAATGTGGTGAAGCTCACCGTTGTAGGTCCGATAGATTTTGATTAAAATAATTTTAAGGATAATGCAATTATATTATTTTTGTATTCCAATGTTTTTGGTGATTCGTTGTTCTGAATCCATCGTAAATGTTAAGTACCGCATAAAATGCGATGCGTTCCACAGAGGGCCCATATTAATACGCACTGCATCGATACAAACAACAGTGGCTACTCATTTCCAGCCGTAACGTTATTCACTTTTTGCACACTACCCAGAGTCATGATGACTGTGCCAACAGCTAGTGCCTATGTGCTTTGGAAACAGTCGCGGATACAATAATACACCGGACGGATGAACACACTTCTTTATTGACTCGGAAGCCGGTAGTCATTTTGACCGAA